TGTCCTTTTCTCCATACCAAATTTTGCTGCTGAGTTAGAAAATGCAAATTGATTTATTTATATTGGCTTTAACTGCCTAATGATTCCCAGAGCACAAACATTACAAACTAAAAAATTTTGTATCTGCTAATACCAATTAGTTTGATATATTTACATCACAAGAAGGTGAAAAATAGAAAAAGGACTCCAGCATCACAACTCACAAGTAATCCATTGGAAGCTCCCAATCATCCTCTAGTTCTTTTCTCTTTGAACGTGAGCTTTTGCTGCCATAACTTCTCCGTTTACTCTTAACATCATTGAATCTAACAGGTCTTTCCAAATCAGAGTATTCTCCATTTTCATCCATGGAAGTTCTTGCATTGTCGGTGTCCCAGAACCCCTGTCATGACATATAGGATTTTAAACAGAAATACTAATGAAGCAACACATCAAAAGCGAGAATATTCAGCTTGCAAACTTTTTATAATTTTGTTCCAGTGGACAAGGGTTGTATTCTCTACTCTCTAGAATCAGTTTCCTTTAACTACTGAAGAAGTAGCTTATATTGCAGACGACAAGAAGTCTCTGATTTATATAACTTTTTCTAACGCACAGATACTTACACAAGTGAGAATTATTCAACACAAATGCATCTTAACAGCTGTGTGAAATGAGTATACTATAGAGGAAGAGGGATATATCCAAAAGAAACACGAAGGTCACAAGCATTCTTTTTTAAAAATCTTGGTAAAAATAAGTTTACAACTTTGGCATCAATCAAACAGTACCTTTGTCAGCCTTTGTATGCGTGAGGCTGCAGCTTCATGAACTATAACCGTGTCAGCTACAACTTCCAGCACATCCTCAACAAGCAAAGCATAAGTACTGACCTAAAATCATAACAAGCAAACTGGATTTGAGCCTTAAAGAAGCTCTACTAAACAAATACTTTATAGCAGATGAATGATTAGTGATTAATGATCAAGCAACATAATCAACATGTAAAGGTTTAAGGTACCAACAAGAGCTTAGCCAAGTTGGTTGTTGGTATCCCCTAACTATATATAAAACCTCGCTTTGGAGTCCAGGTTGGCAATTCAAACCTCTCCAATACGAGGAGGCTAACTTCCAACGTACCCAAAAAAATTAACTCAGAGACCTAAAATGCAAACTAAAAGTAGATCTGCATTAAGTGACTTGAATTTTCCAAATCAAAGAGTAAAGCTAGAGCTATCCTACCAAACTTGATGGAATGATGGAAATCCCAAAGGAATCAAGTTCAAGAGACTCCACAGCCCCTGAATTGATGTTGAAAGTGTATCCCCGCACCTACAATCAGAGTGTAGATAATAAAGGAAATTGTAAATAAAATTGAGATAAGCAGAGCAGCTAAAATGTGAAATATTGACTGACCTTCCCAATGTTTCGCCGATCTGGAGTTAGAACTCTGTACCCTACCTAACAAACATAAAAAGTTAAGCTCCCAAAAGTACACTTCTAGAGTACAATATCAGAACAAGCAGAGTTTATGTTTAACCATCACAGAGAAGGTAATTTGACACCCCATTGGGATTTAATGCTTTCAACTAGCTCCCTCCATTAATCACCTTAACTTGAAGGCAAGTTTTTATGGAACAAAGAAACCATGCAGAAGCAGACTCTAGAATAGTCTCTTAAATATTATGCATGATTCAAACTTCAAAGGAAGGCAATTATTTTACTCCACGATAATTGGAATATTTCAAAATTTCTATGAAATATCCACACAACCATGACTTTTATCAATTTACCACGATTAGCAATACATCTGATTGTTGTGACAATTTGCAAGAGCTAACACACAATACAAATCTCTGCAAGGAAGTAATTATCTTTCACAGCATATGCAGGTTGCCAGATCAAATGGTAGAATGACACTTTAATTAGAGAGCATAGATTTGTCAAGCCAAACATGATATAAAGATACTTATAGTAGGAAAATTTATGACAAAAACAACCTTATGATGAGTGCAGAAACACAGAACCTAATCAGTAAGCTTTGCAAAAAATTTACATGCAATAAATTTTAACCCAAAAAAAAAGAAATACCATGACGTAATAGATATTCTTGATCAAAGGAATTACTCATGCAAAAAATTTAAAAATTGATGAGATTTACATCCAGAGACTGGTGGAAACCAAACATACCAATGTCTCGAGTCCAACCATTCTAAAAGCATTCTCCATCACACTGTCATCCTCAACAAGCACAACATCACCAACCTGAGTAAAACATAACATGATATTAATATACAATACTAGAATCGAAGACCAAAGGACATATTGATTTGCAGCAGGTAAGAGGTAGAGAAATGATCAAAAAGTCAAATATACTATCAAAGCCAACTCTATAGACACCAAGTATCAGACTTTATGATTATGGGATTACATGCTACAAGACTGGTTCTTTTTATATGTATAGTTTAGAAATATAACTGCATTTGCCAAGGGTTTCTGCTACCCCTTACCTTGCTAACATCTTGAAGAAGAAACCTTTCTGATTCCCCAGAAAGCAGAGTTGGCCTCACCTCCACCACCAGTACCACCCACTGAAGAGTGAAAACTTAAAGATACTAAGCAAATTCCCCAGAAAGAAAGAAACCAAAAAGAAGAAGTCATACTAGCAAAGCAAGAATATTTCATGGCAGGAGAACGAAACTTAAATGCCCCAATTCAGTTTCAAATCAAGTGGCCACCAAAGTACAGACCATTAATTGGGAAGACACAATTTGCGAAGAAGAACATGATCAAGGCTAGAACTAAATATCAAACAAGGAACTTGAAGAAATCACTCACTGAATTGGTATCCACCCATAATTGAGAAACAAAACCCAAGCTGATAGCAGACTGAATGCTTATGACTTGCTTTGCCACCAAATTCGATCTCCTCATCACTTGCTTCCCCTTCCTTTTCAAATCAACAGTATCCTCATCTTTAATTTTAACCAATTCCTCTTCCTCCACACCATTTTCACCCTTCCCACTCCAATTCTCATCTGGGTTATTGCTACCAGAATCGCTATTGACTTTCTCCAAGCCAGCACCATGATCCCCACTTCTTCCGAGCTCGAAACGCTTGTTGGATTTCTCTTTGAATCCTACGTCCCCGTGAAACTCGTATTCTTCCGAACCAGACCTTGCGCTTGGTTTGACATTGCACCTGATAAGCCGTAAGCTGCCAGGGTTTCGGTTTCTGATACTTGGGCTAACGGGGATGTGGGTACCTCTGATTTTCAAGTTTCGAACTTTCGTGAGGATGAAGGCTACAGGGGTGGAGGGAAAGCAGACGGACATGCTAATCCTACTTGGCTAAGGATTTGGTCTGATTCTTCGCGTCTAAGACGCTTTAGTTGCTTGGATAACACCTTTATTAGTTTAGTGAAATTTTTGCGGTTAATGCAGATTTTTCGTGCCAAGTACTGTAGACGGTAGTAACCACCTCAACAACGCGCTCACAATTAGAATCATTGAGGTTAAGATACATATCATTATTTTAACAACATCAGAAGAGGTTGCTGTTTAGGTAGCGACACAAAATCTAATACTGTTGGGATTTCGATCTGTTTTGGTACTTAAAAATCTCAAGAAAGTATTTTAGAAAAAACACTTCGCAAAAGTCAATATCCTTTAGAAGTTCTCAAGATAGAAATATTCCAGAGAGGGAACAGTAATGAAGTTATTACCATAGAGATAATTGAGGTATTTATAGAATTAATAGTGCACATTACCCTATTCATCCACTTGCCTCAAGTCCCGTAGATGTGTCATGATTACCTTGTGTCCACCTTTGAGCTTT